AATTTAATGTTTTTTCTGGAAAATGTCCAGAGCCTCATCTTCAATATGAAGCCTTATGTCTTTCTTCAGTTATGGAAGGTTCTTGACCATTATTTCTTCAGATACTCTCTGTCCTCTGCTCTGCAGCCCCTGAGAGACACATGAGATCATCTGGGACGGGACTTCGCCATCTTTTCTGTTGTGGTACCTCCACCTGCACTTCTGAGTTGGTCCTGTTCTCCACCTGTGACTCATCCAGTGTTCTACCTGGCTGTTCTTTGCTGGGGAGACCCCATTGCCATGGTGGTTGTCATGTCTTTGTTTTGAGCTCATCTATGGCAAAGGCTACATTTTCTGCATCTTCCATATCCCCAAATTACACAAGTGTTGATGTTTTTGCACTTGCTTTCATTTGGACTCCATGGATTTCTTCACCATCATCTGAAACTTTATTTCTTGGTTTTAGATCATGTGGATTTTAATTTCTCAGAGGGGACTTTTCCATTGAGAGTTTGTCAAACATCAAGTTCTTTCTGCTCCAACAAATGAGTAGGAGGGGAACCTCTAGTCCCTTTCCCCGGAAGAGCAGCCCTTAGCCTTTAAGTGTCCTGGTTGTGTGCCAGGTGCCAGTTGTTCTATTGCTCCTGCAACTGCTCTGCTTTCCAGAGCTCTAGAGACAGGACAATCTCCACGCTGGACCTGACCTGCCATCTGCTCATCCCGGAGGTCACCTGGTAGCACCCAGGCCTCCCACTGGCTCCCCTCTGAGGCTGGATTGCAGCTTTATCTCTAAGCCCTCAGAAGTTCCTGAGCTCAGCTTTTCCTTCAGCACAGTCTGGTATTTTTAGAACTTGTCGCAGCACAGTTTATGGATTCCCATCACTCTTGTCTACAGTCTACTTCTTTTTTACAATAAAGAACATTTGTTTCATGCTACACAAAAAAGTCATATTTCTAGCATCCAAAAGAAATCTCATTTCTCCTGTTCAAGTTGTATCTTCAATATATTGAAAATATCAAATGACCTAAATTGTTTTTAGTTGCTTATCATATTGCATCTGTAACACATTTAAAAATAATGTATCTGTATGTGAAATGTCTTATACATCACATGCAGATAGTACTTAATGCCTACAAAATTTCTAAGTCATCTTCAAACAACTCAACAGCTGTGTCAAGGGTTTACAATCACTATTAAAACTTTATTTTAAAAATGCCATATGAGTATGTAACATATAAACAGGTAATTATATGTTCTCAGATTAGTTTATGATTCCAAACAGTATCCTCTGGAATAATTATTATAGAAGTCATAGTAGCAGATACTTTCAATGGTATTTTATTCACTAATCAGTGTAATGATGTAGAAAGCATAGAAAGTAAATCCCTGGTTGGAATTTTTAATAAAATCATTAACCTCATTGTGTTTCTGACCTTTGGATACAGAGTTACTATTTTACACATCTGTTATGAGGTAAAAGATTATACTTCTTAGACTAAATCAAGTTAGAATGTTATTGCCTTTGGCCAAAGGTCACTGAAAGATTTAGAGATCGACTTATAGGGTCTATGCTCTTTAAAAAGCTATAGAACGTAAATTTTTTTAGGATTTTGTGCATGAAAATACTTCATGTTTAATATCAAGGTAGTCCTTAATCAGCTATTTCTGTGTAATTTTACCTGATATTTCCTTTCATTCTATGTCTCACTTCAGTTTTCTTCTGATTCTAGATTTTATAGGTTTTGGAAAAAATTACCCAGTTTTAAAACTACTACTTTTGTGGTAATACTTAGGAAATATAAAGTATATTTATCACTGAACTAGTTACCCAAAAAGCAACAGATTTAAATGATTGGAAAACATTTATTGCTACATAAGCCTTAAGAATGACCTTTTTGTTTGTAAATCTAAAGGAACCCACGTGGTGAGTGATTTAGAAACCCTCTAGGAATGTGGGATGGTCATTGGGGGTGATGGTTAGCTATGCAAACATGGATAAGGCATCTCCTAATTTCTTTTTCAAATGTCAATCTTAGATTATTCTTAGAATCAACATTTAGACTTTTGAAATGAAGACTTCTTGTTATTATCGCCAGTATGTACATGTTGTAATATGTTTCCATTTTGTGAGACTGAGATACAGACACAAAAAGCCAATTAAAGCCAAATTGAGGAATGTATATTTCCAGGAGACCATCTTGATTTTCTATTAAAATATTCTTAAATTTTGTGGATTGTGAAAACCACTGCAATACCAACAAGAGGACAAATAAAGCACTTTACTTGAGGAATACTTATATTTGCAGAGTATATAAATTTACAGACATCCCATACTCCCCTGGGTGCTGGTTGACGGGAAAGCCTAGGTCCTCTGTGCTGGGACCTCTCCCCACCGCTGCTCCTCGGCTGAGCACAAATCTGAGAGGAACAGATCAAAAGGGCAGAACTGAAATCCCACAGGTCCAGTCCGAGCACTCACCACACACCCCTGGAGACAGCAACAAGCTCCTTGAATAGAGCTTGAGAAGGGTAATGAATTAGTGATACGGATTACGAGGAAAATCAAACAGGGATGAGGTGGTTGTAGGAAGTCCAGATAAAGGACTTTGAGGAGACGGAGAGAGCTGGAGGAAAGAGGAAGGCATGCCATGGAACCAGTTCTCCCTCCCAGTTTCCCTGTGCTGAAGCTCTAACACCCCACATACATGCCTTTGGGGACGCGGCTTACGCAGGGGTAGTGAAGGCTAAGTTAAAGTGTCAGAACTGGGTCTTCTTAAAAAGGTTGAGAGATATCTGCACCTCCGTCTGCCCCACGGGAAAGCATCTGAGCCTCTGTCTATCTGCACCAGGGGAGAGCACCTGAGGATACAGTAGAAGGCAGCTGTCCACATGCCAGGGCAAGCGGCCTGAGCACAAACACAGTGACAACGCATCTCAGGCAACTGTCAGGAGATAAACATCTGTGCTTTAAGCCACCCAGCTTCCGGCCTGTAGTTATGGTATCCTGAGCTGATTAAATGTGGCCATTCAAGGAAAGACCTTAAGGCAGAAGGAGTGAGGCCCAGAGTCTGAAGAGCGCTGTGGAAGCCTAGAAGGTTGTGTGAAGAGACTCACAACTAGATGAGGGTGGGGCTTTAACCGGAAGTGACAGGCGGGGAGGGACCAACTGTAAGGGTGATGGGGGGAGGAATTAGGGTGACACCCATCCTTGCCATAGAAATCTCCCAAGAAAAAATTTCATGTCAATCATCTTATTAGGAAATCCTTGTCTTGGTAAGACACCTGTGTTTGAGAATGCTAGAGAAAGATGAGGGATAGCTACAGTAGGACATTTCAGTAGTTGTCTTATCTCAAAAGTCAATGCAAAAACAAACCCAAAGTTAAAAGAAAACAACATAATCTACCTAACATAACTGCAAAATAGAAAGTTAACAGTAAATGAACAGCAACAACCAGAGACCGTAGGATGACAGAAGTTAAAATAAGAGCAGCTATAAAAGTAAATGTAGCAAACTATAACATGAAAATACAGATTCTTCTATCAGATGGAAGCACCAGATGTAATGATTTGACCATTATAAGAGACATGTGCAAAACTGCAACAAGGGACTAAATGAGAGAATGAGCAAAATATACTGAAGAGCTAAGTAAAAATACAGTCCTCATGACACTTTTATGATAAACTAAGATTACAAGGTAAAATTACAGATAACATTGAACCATTAGCAGCTGAATGATGTAGCAGTAAATATTTCAAAGTACAGAAAATAATGTTGTAAAACATCTCGAAGTGAACACAGATTCTTGAGAAAATTAATATTAAGTAGCTATCCCATATACTTTGGCTGAACAAGGTAAACTGTGTACATTTACAAGGTATATAAAGTATCTCGGAGGTGTCTGTACGCATTTAGAGTTGGGGTTCATTTTTCTAAGCTCTAGCTACAAAAGAGTACGTGGATCCACGGAGTCTTTCCTGGCTGGGCTTCCTCTTCCCTCTTGGTGTCTGTCCTTGTCTGCAGGAGTGTGGTAAATGGGAGGCTCACCAGCAGAGGGTAGATGGGCCACCTGCTGGGGGAGTACAGGACCACTTGATTTACTCAGTGGCAAAGTAGCTGAGGGAGCTTCTCCCTGTCTTGATGGGCTCCCCACTTAAGCAGACGGTGGTCTTTTGAAGGTGAGCACTCTGATAAGGGTTTGGAAGCTAGGGAAAATGGTGTGTGCACCATAGCCCTTATCCTGAGCAGGTGGTTGGCATTGTCTGTCTGAGTCTGAGTCCATTCCTTCTACCCTGACACCTTCCTGCCGGAGGGGGGCCAAGCGGATCTCAAACCAGGGGCCACCCAGGCAAGTGTAGGAGTTCAGACCCACCATCTATGTTCTCAGCTCTGATGTGGTCCGGTCCCCTGGTGCGTTGGATGGTCCTGAGGCACCAGAGGTGAGGGCTGTGGGGAGAGCAAGGCAGATCTTTGCTCTACCAGAAGTAGTCCAGGGGAGATCTGGTATGAGGGGCCCATCAGGTTCAGCCCGCTTTTTGTCTCCCCCCTTTTTTTCCTTGATGGCCCCAGGACCACCCGTGTCATCCCCACCCAGGGATCCTGTATGACCCTCGCAGCCCTATCCCACTGCACATTTCCCATCCACTAGGGTACGTTGTGTGGCTCATGCTGGCTGACACTGGCGTCCACATCCTCAGCCTTGTCACTCCACTCTGGCGTGTATGTTTCTCAGCAAACTGACTTTGGACTTCTTGACTCCTTTCCAAGATCACATGGGTACCTAATACTAAAAAGAAATATATCAATATGCTCCCAAAGTAGAGTCTCTGTGCGTTAGAGTCAAATGATGAAGATCTAAAGGGCCACCATTTCACCCTCCACACTAAGATGCTGAAAGGCCTAATGAGGGGCAGGTGTCTGGGTGCCTGAGCCCCTTTCCCCACCTGTGATGCACAGCTGTTCCCTGTGGCGGGGCAATGCCGGTTATTTTCACATTGCATTTCTTCTCTCTCCACTTCCAGGTAGAAATTGAGAAGCTGGATTACCACCATTATCTGCCTCTGTTTTTTGATGGGCTTTGTGAAATGACATTTCCCTACGAGTTTTTTGCTCGGCAAGGAATCCACGACATGCTGGAACACGGGGGGAGCAAGATTCTACCTGTCATTCCACAGCTCATTATCCCGATAAAAAGTAAGTGAACAGGTGAAAAAAGCGTCACTCCGTGTGCGCCGTGCCGCGTTTTGACAACTTGCTAATTAAGCAATAAAACACAACAGACTGAGGCCATCCCCAGGCTTTGTGGGAATTTTTATAAATTGCCTTATGAAAGCAGACAACCCAAATCTCGGAGAAAGGTCCCATCCCATAAGTGAGCTACATTGCAGGAAGGCCGCGCTGATTTAAAACGTGCATGGTACGTGACCTTGTGTGTACACTGCCTCTGACTCCCGAGTGAGCTCTAAATGGCACCCCTAGCTTTAAATGACAGTAGAAATTGACTGGCTTTTAGGTAGTGGGAGGCACAATTGTCAGGAAAGACATGTGGACTGGAGAAAAGATGAATTTGTAAGGAAAGGGAATTGTTCATTTGCGATAGGTTGTTGTGGTGACAATCTCTAGAGTAAAGTGGCCCCTGACTTTCTCTGGCTGTGACCCGAGCATCCACTACCTCCCACACAACGTGCCAGGCACCAGGGCCTTAGCTGTGTCAAGAAGCCCCTTCGCCAGCCTTTCTGAGGTGCCCTGTGAGCCTCTGGGCTCCGGCCAAGCCTGGGTGACTGGCATCCATCTTACTGCCATGGTAAGGGCAGCCCTTGGAGGGCCTGGCCCCTCACTGTTTCACCTCAGTCCACAGGCCAGCCCAGTTCCTTCACCCACCTCCATGCTGCTGCTGCTGCTTGTCCCAGCGCCTCTAGTGTGTCCCGCAGCATGGGAGCTGTGCTTTTTGTGGTCACTGATGATTAAAAGCAGAGTCTATGTCTCTGAACTCTCTGGGCACAAAGTCCCCACCTTTTCTCCAGCCTGCCCGGCATTTCCACCTCCTGCTCTGGGCCTTCTTACTCCATGGTTTCTAAAGAATGCCCAAGCCTTGAATCTTCCTCTCCCAATCTGCCTCATCCAAACCCCAGGATTGGCAAGTGGCCACTCACCTCCCTAGGAATCCAGGATCGGGGGAGTTCCCCGCCACCCTGCCCCCCCATGGTCTCAGGTGTGTTTCTGTTCACCTGGTCTGACCAAAATGAGAAGACGTGAGTTCAGGATTGGGTCCTTTCCTGGGGTCTGGCTTGTTTCATCATGCCATCCTTTAACTGAGTCGAGGAGAACGTTATCAGGATTCTAATAATGGTTTGGATTAAGCAGCATTCAGCCTCTGTTCTCCCTACTGCTTTGGCGTCTTGGAAACTAGCTCTCCTACCTTGAAGACCTCCACACAGGAGTAACTTCCATGGTCTTTTTTTCCCACCGAGACAGGGAGCAGCACACCAAACCCAGAGCCACCTGATTGGAAAAATATGGGGCCCGAGAAGCATGCTCTCCTAACAGGAAGCATCTGACCAGCAGCTAGCCGCCTCAGGCACCAGCTGGGCCGAGCTGAGGGTGGCTTCAAAGAGGCCTCAAGAAGGAGATGGAGCACCCAAGCACATAAAGACTTTTTCAAATGTGCTTTCTCCTCTGGAGAAGCTAAACTCCAGTGGCAACAGTTACCTTTCTAAAAGATGAAGTGCACACTGCATTGATAAACAGAAAAGGGCCAGAATGTTCTCCCCAGGAACTGCCTGTCCTTTTCCTCTGTGCCCACCAGAATAGCAACAGCAGCCTGACCTTCTCTAAAATAAACACGTCGCGCTAGGCTTGTCTGCTTTCCACAAAACCCCCCACAGATCCCCAGTGAAGACACAGACGGAAAGAGAAAGGGGTTGCAAATATTTAGATTATAGTTTTTAGAATTAAAACATATTAAGTTAGCAAGTGACAAGCCAAGGCGAAATGACTTTGAATTTTCTTCAATCTGTATTTTGAAATCACATGAATGAGTTATGAGAAGAATGATGTGTTATAAGGAGAAAATTGACAGCACACACATGCTAGCAGTCGTGTGCTGATGAGAGAAAACATTATTAAGAACTCAGTAAACCTGATTTGTCAGGGCAAATTAACTACATATGAATCTGGTCATTTCCGGTTCCAGCACTCAGGACAGTTCATCTCGGTTGGATCTCCTTGCTTTGGCTGCCTGTTCTTTCCTGTACACTGATCCTGACACTAATCGGTGTCTCTCTTCTTAATCTGTCTATGTTACTAAAAGCCAAACTTCTCTAGGGAAGAAATGCTGGTTACTATGTAAGACCGTGTAGCTCCAGTATGCTCTGAGAAATGTTGTGTGCACAAACTAAATCTCACAGGTAGAGTTGAGCATGACCAACTGATTTAGAAGTAAGTTGATGTACATCTTTCAGCTGTGTGGACCAGATTTTCAAAAGATATTATCAGAATACTATTTACTTTATCCAGGGGCAAAAATTAACCTCCCCAGCACCAGCAGCAGTTCTAATTCATTTCTGCAAAAGCAGCATAAAGTAGATCAGCTCAAGGGGAGGAGAGAGCCAGGCCACCTGGAATTGATGCCAACGGACGGTAACAGAATAACCCTGGGGTGAAAAAAGGACATGTTTGGTAGCTCAAATGTTTCAAAAATGAAGAGCAAAAAATGCAACTGTCTATTCCCTGCTGCTCCATCATGCAAGACTCCAGGTCTACAGGGTGACAAGTGTACACCTATAGTCCCAGCTACTCCAGAGGCTGAGACAGATGGATCACGTGAGCTCATGAGTTTAAGACCGGCCTGGATGACACACTGAGACCCTGTGTGAAAAAGAAGAAAAGAGAGCGACCTCAGGATTTTTAATGGCCTAAATAGCACATGCTGCTTCTGCACCCTCCTCTGCCCTTCCACCTCCCGTGTACTACAGGAATGAACTTGGCTACTCGACGAGCCTGAATTCTGACAGCAACATTCTGGGGAAGAAGAGGAGAGGAAGGAGCTCTCTTTGCCATCTGACCCAGGATTTTAGATTTATATTTACTCTGTCTGGTCAGGAAAAAAAATGAGATCAATGTTGGGAAACAATGTCCAGCATCCATGTCAAGTGAATGTGGAAGATGACTCAAATCATGGCTGAGAGGACAGTGAAGAGCTAAGAGCCGCAACCTGTGACTTCTTCCTCACAAGCAAGAACAACACTGTGGCCCTGTAGAGCCGCTTGGAATAGTAATAATAACAACAACAATCACCCCACACAAGGAAGGAAGGATTTTACAATCACAGAAGAGACTATCTCAACAATATTTAGTAGAGAAACCAAGTCAAACATAAAAACTTGGAGGATTTTATTTGACATCCTGAGAACTCAGGAAGATGTGAAATCTGACACAGAAGCCCAGGTTCCTTAAAGGGAAAGTGGACTTATGCACATGAGCCAGTCTTGAATAGGATAGTGCAAGCTAAGAGGACCAGAGTAGCGCTGAGGTCTCCGCAGAGGAGAACAGAATCATTGGCATCAACTCAGAAGGGTAGGCGTAAGTATAGACTCTCTCCGAAGAGACAAGTAGAAAAGGAGAAGGTAAGAAAGGAGAAGAAATGGAGGAGCCAGGATCCAAATGGGGGCAGCAGCAATGAGTTCCAGGAGGTCAGGACAACAGGGACAGCCAGTAGCAGAGATGAAGGGAAGACCTCCCTGGACAGGAAGAAGGACGCTTGCTGTGCAGGCCCAGAAGTCCCACTGCAGTTGGAAGAAACCAAGTGCAAAGGGGCCATATCAACACACAGGTGCCCCCAAAACGAAAACCAATCAAACTAATATAAAGTCCTTCAAACATCTGCCCAGAGGAAAAAAAATGATGCAGGAGCACATTCCAGCCTGGGGCACTGTTGAGCTGTCGGCACTATTTCACTCCAGGCACTTGAGTCAGAATTGTGTGGTGTCAGTGCATAGCAGCTGCCTGCCCTTCACACAGCTTGGTGAGGATCTGCCCCAATGAAGACCTCGCAGCTTAGGAAGTGTGAGTGGAGGTCACACAGCCTGGATCTAAGTCTAAATAGTTGATGGAAGAGTTTCAAAACTGTGTTTGACTGAGGCTGTGGTTCAAGTAGTGGAGAGCTTGCCTAGCAAGTGTGAGGCCCTGAATTCAAGCCTCAGTAGCACTGAAAAAAGGGAAAGAAAGAAAGAAAGGAAAGGAGGGAGGGAGGGAGGGAAGGAGGGAAGGAGGGAGGGAGGGAGAGAGGGAGGGAGGGAGGAAGGAAGGAAGGAAGGGAAGGAAGGAAGGAAGGAAATGAGTGAAGGAGGGAGGGGAGGAAGGAAGTGGAAGGAAGGAAGAAAAGGAAGGAAGGAAGGAAGGAAGGAAGGAAGGAGGGAAGTTAGGAAGGAAAGAAGCTATGAAATATCAAAATAATTTTGTGATAATGAAGTCCAGAAAAGCTGGGTTCCAAACCTTCAAAGTGAATGGAGAAGATTAAAAATAGTTATAAAAATCTCTGTTAAATGGACAGAAATTACATAGACAGCAAGGAGCTAAGAACCCGAAGCACAAATTGAGATGAAGGATGTGAAGTCAACTGTATCAACTTATGAAAATTAACTTTCATATTGGTTCTTAAGCAGCAAAATACAAACCCAATTTAACCTCCTATTCATTAAACAAAATATTACTTAAGTATTTAAAAAAATAAAAGTTATATTGGGATAAATTGTTTAAAGGCAGGAGTAGTTATTTTGTTTTTAGTAAAGTAGAATTTAATGTAAAGAGATTTCAAGTAAATGAAGAGGATTTATACTGATAAAAATATTCACAAATAACTTAATCATCATGACCCTCTGTGTACTAAAAACCAAGGCATCACATTTAAAAAATAATCAGCTACGGACACTGATATTTTCTATCTCTGTAGGAAGAATAGACTTTCTCGTTTTTTGTCAATGCGCGCATGCGCACACACACACACACACAAAGTCTTCCTTTAAGAGGCTGAGTTTGGTGGTGCTTCGCTACATTGTACTGGTAACAATTCACCTCATTGTATGGTAACAATAGAAGCAAGCCTTGTCCTGCCTACACACACACATACACACACACACACACACACACACACACACACACCTACACCTTTTTAATATGAGCCACATGATGTTTTC